TCTTTCGTCCACCCTCTTCTACCATTTCTTCTCAACCCTAATCATTTCAAGATTCATATGAATGTTTTCTCATATTTCCCACTGTGTATTGTTCTTTTCAGTAGTTAAGAACAATTTTTTTTCTAAATTATATTTGAGGTCAGCATCCTTGGTTCTAGTACTAAGACAAAAAAGGTGAACTCAGAAACTTTTAACTTTAAATTCCTTCATCAAATTTCTTCCAGGTATGGCTGGAGAGATGGCTCGGCTCTTAAGAGTACATACTGCTCTTTCAGAGTATCTGAATTCAGTTCTCAGTACCCACATTGGCCAGCTCTTGACCATCTGTATGTAACTCCAGCTTCCTCTCCTGGTCTCCATGAGCACCTTCATACACGGAATAATTTTAGGTAAAGCTGTGAAGTGGTGGTGGGTACCTTTAATCCCAGCACTTAGAGGCAGAGACAGGCAGCTCTCTGAGTTCAAGAACACCCTGGTGAACAGAGGGCCTTCAGGACCTCTAGGACTATACAGAAAAACCAAAAATGAGGAAGAGGAGGTGAAGGAGGAGGAAGGAAGGGAAAAAAATAGGAAGGGGAATGATGAGGAGAAGAAAGAAGAGGAGGAGGAGGAGGAGGAAGAAAAGAAGAAAGTGTTTTCCAGGCAGAGGCAGCAGCCAGAGAAAAGGCTCTAAGCCTTTTTTTTAATTCATCATTGCCTTATCCTTTCAATAGTGTATGATAACAATAGCTAGTACTTACCAAATATTACAACACATGACCCACAAAAACATGCACATTTTTAAAAATTAAATCATTTAAACCTCACAAGTCTGTAAAATAAGCATTTTTTTAAAAAATGTTTTTAGAGTTGCCTATTTTTTTTTTAACACTACAAATGTTTTAGCTGCACATATGTATATGCACATGTGTGTCTGGTGCCCGAGGAGATTAAAAGAGAACGTTGGATACCCTGGAAATGGAGTTATAGACAGTTGTGAACTACCATATGATGCTGGGAACCAGATCAAGGTCCACTGTAAGAGCAGCAGGTGCTCTTACACACTGAGGTATCTGTAATGAAAGTTTTGGTTTCTTTACATTATATAAACATATTTTTGTTATAATCATTAAGTATGGGATTTTAGTCTGTCCACAGCTGATAAATGCTTCCTGCAGGGAAGTAGTCTTTGTCAACTGGTTAGTTGAATTCTGAGGACTTTTAGGGGTATAAATATGATAGCCCAGAGGACGAAGGCACGGTGGCTTGGATAAGGCAGAGGTAGGACTGCTTGCTGGTTTGCTGGTTATCTGAACTTCTAGATATCCTGATGGCTGAGAGTGGTACTGCCCCAAAATAATACTACAACCTTACCGAGCAGGAAGAAATAAAGAGGGCTATGTCCTCTTTCCCTTCCAACTTTCTTGTTCTCCTTCCTGGGGTGGGGGACCTGGAAGGGAGGTATAAGCATTAAGGAACTCCCAAATAAAGTAGCATTTAAAAATTAGTGCCTATAGCTATCTCTCCAGGCCCAGGTGCTCCTTGTTTAAAAGTATTCATTTATTTTTTTGTGAGATAAGTGAATACATGACACAGTGAATACATTAACTACATTACAGTTCAACTTGCAGAAGTTGATTCTTTCCTTCCACCATGTGGGTTCCAAGGATTGAACTCAGTTCATCAAGCCTGGCAGCTAGATTGCCCTTTACCCACTAGACTACCTCAAATGACCCCCTTCCATTTGTAAAAATGGAAAAACAAAAACACAAAGAGATTAAGTAATCTCCCTAAGATCACATAATTAACAAGGAGCAGGGTACTGAACCACCATGTGTACTATGAAACCAATTTTTGTACTTAGGAACCTAAGAACATTCAGTACAAACTGCTTTACATTTCTCTTCTTCAATAAATAGAAACTCTTCAGGTACATAGACATTATTATGAGTACTATTCAAATTTGCTTTCTTAGCATTTTCACAACTGAATCTTTCCCACAGTATGCATTACTACCTCCTTACCTTCCTGACAATCTCATCTATCTTCATTCCCAATCTACTGAAGTTCTTCAGCGGTCTGTGGTCATTGCATCACCAAATAAAAGGATTCGTTGTCTAGTCTCATTCTCTTTGAATGGTGTTGGACTATGACAACCTTTTTCCTCTTTCTTGAAACTTCCCCAGTTCTCTAGAGCAACAGTATTCTGAATCTTCCTATTCAGATCTCTGACTTCTCTCAGGGAAAACATTAATCTCTTCCTTTTCTGCTCAAGATTTCATTCAACTTCTCCATCTTCCTTCTAGCTCTTCAACTTTTTTTTTTTTTTTACCTATACCTCTGAAAGGTAAGAACCCTAAAAATTGCATCTTTGTCTCTTTTTCTTTTGTGAATTACAATTACTACAGATTGGCCAGGGACCTCTATATACAGCTAGGCTGGCCTTGAAGTCACAATCTTCCTTGCCTTAACCTCACTAGTACTTACATAACAGGCCTGTATCACCTCACCAGCCCTCAGTCTCTTCTAAAGTTCATTTAACTTATAGAAATTGAGGGCTTACTATCAGATTCTATTTAGGTCTCTTGATAAAACAATGAACAAAACAGAAAATAAAACTTCTTCTGTCCATACACTGTCAAGTAATTCTGTTCCACAATGACACTCAAAATGGTATTGTGGGACTGGGGTTGTAGCTCAGTGGTAGAAAGCATGTGTGAGACCCTTTGTTCAATCTCCAAAATTGGAGGGAAAAAAAATTTCCACTGAATAATATTTTATATTCTCCCAACTTAACAAAAAGAATAATGATGCCATTTATCAACCACAACTACATATTGCTGCCTTAATTCAAAACACTTAATAATCATTTTCCATCTTATCTATCCAATTTTTTTTTCTATTACTCCCTGATTCAAAAGAATACCAGCAAGACAGTCTTATGCGTATACCTAAAACACACTGCCTGTATTTCCATTTGCCAGAATAGCTACTGGAAACGTATGTTCAGCTCAAGACAAAACAAGTGTATTGAATACAAAGACAACTTCAAAATTGAAAGTTTGTTGATTCTTTCAAATGTATTCTAACAGCAAACCATTATCCAGGGCTTACTATGTACCAAACACCATTCAAATATATTAGCTCATTTATTGTACAAAATAACCTTAGTGGTTTTTTAATAACCTTAGGTATTTTGTTTTGTTTTGTTCCAAGGCAGGGTTTCTCTGTGTAGCTTTGACTATCCTGGTCTCACTTTGTAGACCAGGCTGATCTCAAACTCAGAGACCTGCCTGCCTCTGCCTCCACACTGGGATTACAGTGCTGGGATTACTGGCGTGTGCCACCACACCCAGCTCATTCACATTAGATAGATAGATAGATAGATAGATAGATAGATAGATAGATAGATAGATAGATAGATAGATAG